GCCGCCGCCGCCGCCGCGGAGAGGCGCGCGACTGTGAATTTCGATCAGCCGAAAAAATTAGGGAGATACGCGAACGCAAAACGCAACAGTGTGTGCAAAATATCGTGTCCTTTATCACCTAATATATTACCATAACCTACGTATGTTGTGTGTGTATATATAATATATAATATTTATATATATATTTATATATATATTATGTCGAATACAATATGAACTGATTTTTTTTACCGAGTAATTAATGACGATCACAGCCATAGCTTTGAATACGAATGTTTCGTTCGTATTTTTTCTTCTTTCTTCCTTTGCTCCTTAAGATCAATATAGTACCGTAATCCGTTTAACGTTTGTTACGAGGATACATTCTGTTTAGTTCTCGCTACTCGCTATGTGACTACACATTGATTACAACGAAACAGCGGATGCGACAGTCGCACGATCGTTCATAACAACATAAAATTAACGAGATATAATTAAATTCAACATACACATTGTTGTTTAAATCATTGCAAGCTTTGCCACACGTCATTCACATATTATATCAATTAGACGAATGTTTATCGAACAAATAAACACACGTCTATTTGTATTTACATTTTTATTTAATGACCAGTTAAATGTGCCTCTAATTTTTCGTATTATTAGTATAATGTAAAAATTCTATTCGATGTAATTGCGAGATAAATATATTACATACGTGTGGATTATTATCTCAAAATAAATTTTGCAAAGTGAACATTCGTATTAAGAGTATTACTTTAACTTAAATATGATAAACAATAAAGCTAATTTCGTTGCAAGCCAGTTATGGTAATTTTTATCTTGAGTTAAAATTATCATTAACTATTTGTGCGCTTTTTTGCATTTATTATAGTCGAAACGTAATATTAAAAACTGCTAGTGAAAACGTTTGGAACGAGAATTCTAAATTCAATTGTTCAGATCAATTTAGATGCCAAATTGTATATCTAAAATAGACTTTGTTCTGTATTTATTTACTCTTTCATGAGACGTTTCATTTTTTGACTGTCTGTTAATTTGATTTTTAACCTTTCATCACCTGTTGATATCGAGTTTGACTGTCGCATCCCAACAAAAATCATCACCGATTCGTTGCAACTGTCGACGCTCTCACGATGCTATTCAGAGACCGCGAGATCGCAAGTCGAGGATCTTTGCCGTCTAGAAAAAATAAAATTTGCCGATCGACGTTTGCGTGAGCGGTGAAGATTCGACTGGCGTTCTAGCGAGAAAGAGAGAGAGAGAGAGAGAGAGAGAGAGAGAGAGAGAGAGAGAGAGAGAGAGAGAGAGAGAGAGGAGGA